TACAGCCTGAAAATGCACCATCATCATTTCTTGAAGTCATTACTCAGAACACACCCCCACTGCATTTCATTTTTATTATCCCCATTTTAGGAACGATTAAATGGAAGCAGAGAGCGGTAGCAATGAAGCAAATCATGAGAGGCTCTGATAAAGACAGAAGCTTGAATGCTTGCTGGAACTGCTTCTCTGTGCCAGACTATTTTTAATGCAAGTTTATGCAGCTGTCCCCCACTTAGAGAGAAGACTTACAAATGAACCCATTCTGCACGCATTTTTCCACCACCATCCCCTACCCTTTCCAACCTATCATGCTATCCCCGCATGCATGCACGTGTGGGAAATGTTCTCCTCCACATTCCCACATACCAAAGACATTACCTGGCTTTCTGTGACTGTAATTCTGATCCAGAGATCTCTGTGCTATTCTAGCTGCCCCCATGCCTCCTTAGTGGCTATTTGTACAGGATCCCATTACAAGTTCACAAGAGCAGGTGCTATTTTAAAAAAAAATAGGAGGTTGAGTAAATATATAGAATTTTTATATGCTTGCAGTATGTTCAGAGAAAATACGTAAGACCCTGGAAATAAGGATTTCTCTGGGGAGGGGCCTGGGGGAACTGAAGATCACAGATAAGAGGATGTTCTTTTCACCGGATACCCTTTTGTACCATTTGACTTATTACCATGAGCAAATGTTACCTTAAAAAAGGGGGGAGAGGGCACTGACTGACATTTGTTGAATACTGGCTATGTTTCAGTCACTATTAACTGGTATTTTATTATAAAGTCTCCTTTAATCTTTATAACAGCCTTATGTAAAACCCTATTTTACAAAAGGGGAACGGACTCAGGTAGTATGGCCGCTTGGTTTATGCAGCGGATAGACGGCAACAAGGGGCATTCATCTCTGCTCTTTCTGAGTCCAAAACTGTGCTCAGTCCCAGATTATGCTGCCTTGATTTCAAGTCTTTCAGAAGGAGCCAGATTTGTGAGACGGTAGCTTTGAGACTATGTTTTAAAACCTGAGAGGGTATTCACATGGTTCACACCAGCATCTGAATGAGTCTTCGTCAACCTGCCTCGTTGAAAAGTGTAAGGCCTGCCTCCTCTGGGAGGTTGGGCCTCACTGAAAATGGCGCCCACCCCGCCCGCCAGACCCTTGCTAGCACTTGGCCTGCTCACACCAGCGGTGGAGAATGTGCCTGCTCTCCCGCTCTCTTCAGTAAACCACTCCGTCCACCTGGAGGCATTTCAGGCAGAAGTGAAATGCCTGGTCAATATACTGACTCTCCTAAGCATATGAATTCTTCATTTATTTAACAGCTATCTTTTGAGCCGTCACTCTAAGCCAGATACTCTTCTAGAGTATTCGGCTTATAGAGGTGAACAATGTCCTTTCTCCCAGGAAACATCTGTCCTGGTGTGAAGAGACAGGTGATAATCAGGCAAATAGGCAAAACAGCAGACAAAAAAGTATCCTGAAGAAAATTAAAACGAACTGTTGTGATAGGGTGGCTCAAGCTCTACGTTAGCTTGAGTCACCAAGGAAGGCCTTCTGAGGAGATGATATTTATCTAAATGACAAGAATGACAAATATTCCCTGGAAGCTACTGTCCTTAGAAACAAACTCAGGTTCCTTTTGTATGCTTCAGCTCCCACCCCAGTTCCATTCCAACTGCTTACTTATTTACAACGTGAATTTTGTAATCCAAGAAGCTAGAGCCAGAAAGGGCCCTAGAAGTCGTCTTAATCTCATGCCATGATTTCAGACATGAAGAAAGAAAGATCCAGGAAAGTGAAAAGAGCAGGTCACACAGCTCGTTAAGGGCATGACCAGAAGCTGTGGGTCCTGTCTGTTGCCTCATTTTCCCCACAAATCCAGATTCCTTCCCCATTTATCTTCCCAGCTTCCATCTCCTCCCTGTCAAATATTCACCCTGGTGCCTGCCTCTCCGGAGTCCACAGACACGAAATCTTCCCTGGGCCACATGGGACCCTCCGGAGTGGTATTAGAAATCCTGAGAATACAGAGGGTCCTGGGGGTCAGGGTAACAGTGGAAAAAAAGGTTTAACTTCCCATGGTACAACTTCAGCACATCCCAGATATGCACTAGAGCTGTGCCTGGCTCCTGCCACCCGTCTCTGCCCACAAGGGAGCCCTAACAAGGGGCTCCACACTGGGGAGCCTCCTGGATCTATGAATTCAACAAACAGTAAAGACCACTCTTCAGCAATGTTCCCTGACTGAACCAAACCAGTATGAATATGTGATATTCTATGACCTCCTACCCCCTCCCAAAATGCTTTACAAAAAGATTAACCACAGAATTTCTTTAAATAACAAGCTCCCTTGTTTAAAGTACATTTAAAGTAAGGTCTATGAAAACTCAATCTACATAACGGTTTTATCTCCCCTCTGCCCCCCAAAAGAGGTATTACATCAAGGGCAGTAACGTAAACTTGGATTCTTAATGGTGGATTTTCAACTCTTGTATTATGCAATGGTTCTCATTCACCTGACACATACTTATTGAACTGCTCTATGCAACACACTTTTCCAGGTTGCTGGGAGGACAAGACGATATAAAGACACAGCCTCTGCCATCTGGAAGCACGCATCCACACAACTCTAGATGGGACGGTGCTACAACAGAGGTAGGGACAACGGTTACGGGGGACAAGGGAGCGTGACAGATTATGTTTTGGTCAAAGACGAGAGAAGAAGACAGTAACAGTTTCATTGGGCTTCAAAGGACGGTTATTATTTGTATAACTGGACAACTCATTTCAGAAAAAGGAAACATGATACATGCTGTACAGGAAGCAAGACATACAGGGAAATATCTTAGAACAGAGAGAGCCCAATGTAGCTTGATGGTGAGACGGGAAACAGCAAGGGAGAGAAGACAGGCTTGGAAAGGTAGACAAGAGCCTTGAACACCAGAATAAAGTTTGGACCCAGTGCATAAACTACAGAAGCTTTGAACAAGGTTTGGGCAGAGAAAGAACATGATCAGAGTTGTGCCTTAGGAAACTCATTCTAGCAGCCATGTCCAGGACTGATCTGAACGGATAAAGGTAGGCATCAATTTAAAAAATTATCACATGCTTCCTGGATCATATAAGGAGGAATAAATTCAAGAGCTACAGTAAAGGTAGAACTGATGAGAAGGGAAGGGATGCAAATCCCAGGGAGGGTGACTAGTTTGGGAAAGGGCAGTAGTGGGAGTGGTCACAGGCCTCAGATTCCAGCCTAGAGAAGTCAGCACGAGTGACGGTAAGATCTCTTTAAGGAAGGAGAGGTGTGAGATGCCCCATCCTTGAGGCAGTAATCGTGAGTCTACTGCATAAAAGCTACCCAACTGGACATCTCTGATCCATGTACGAAGCCTCAGTTATTAATAACTCCTCTTCTGGAGATATACAGAGGTGCCTATCATACGTGAGTTCCCAGAACACTTCTTAAATTATTATGTCTCTATAGCAGCAGTGAAAAGCAGCTTGATTGGAGTGCAGGGCAGGGGCCCAGGGGAAAACCACTTCTGAACAAATGACAACTCAGTAGAGGGAGAGCCACTTTAATCAAGAACACAAGGAATAATCTAAGTCTTATGGCTGTGCCCTGATATAAGGAACTCTATGACAGATTGAAGTCTTTCAAGTTTAAGAATAAGGCCCCAGGTTCCCACTACGTGAGCCACACATGCTGTTTCACAGATGAGCATTCACCTAACTACCCGTCCAGGGCTCACGGACAGGACTGTGAATTTCAAGAAATTTATCTCTGGTCTCTTTTCCTGGCCCTTCTTTCTGGAAATATATAATGTGGGTTTCCTTCCAGTCAGAGCCATGCTGACATCTTGAAGCCTGTTCTCAGCCAACTGACTGAGTCCATAGAAATTGCTTTAAATCGGTGTTTCCCAACATGTTTTACAGACTATGAATTTCATGAACAAAGGGGTCTAATAATAAAATAAATTTTGAAAATATCAGAGTAAGTAAAGTTAGAGATGGCCCTTTGCTATAGACAGTATTCCTCTGAGCTTCCAAACGTTACTACGCTCTGGGAACCTCCCAGAAGGAGAGCCTGGAGGTATGTCTCCCAACCTTATTTATCTACAGAACCATTTTTCAGCAAAGAATCTCGAGGGACAAATGACATCTGAAGAACATATACCAGAGAAACACCAGTGCTGACATTGCTCTGGGGAGCATTTGTATTTAAGTAGGAATCGGGGATAAAATCAAAAGCGAATACCTGTTAAGTTCTTACTGTGTGCCAGGCACCTTTCTAAGTCCTTTGCATATATTAATCTATTTAATCCTCATAACAACCCTGTGATCTTGGTACTTTTATTTTTATTCTCATTTTATAGATGAAGACACTTGAGGCACAGAGTACTTAAGAGATTTGTACAAGGTCCTAAGTAGACAAGTTTGTGAGTAGAAGAGCTAGGAAGTGAACCTACGTAATCTGGCAATCACAGAAATTAATTTCTAATGGTAGAGTTTCAGATACTGTGGTCAGCTGTCAGCGGGAGAGATCCTGAGGAGAGCCTTGCAATGGCAAGCCTCTGATCACAGCAAATTCAAACCTATGTGCTTGTAAATTACATTTCATCGGCCTCCCCAGGACACTGTGTAGGACCCAACTTCTGAATTATATCACTGATTTGATTTCTTCACTGAATTATGTTACATTATACATGTACACTCTTCCATTAGAATAAAGTCATGATTCACACAGCACCATAACCAATAAAAATGATAATGCATAAAGAAAATAATCTCTTGATTAACCAAAGGACAAGAACACGAAGATGCAAGTTGGAGAAACTTTGAGTTTGAGCTTCTCCTGTGCTCTCAAAGTATTGCACTCTAACTTCACAGCTCAGAGACCAAAACTAAGGTTTGGTTTGGTTTTCTTTTAATGTGTCGCAAAATTTTATGTCCCTACCCCATCTGCTTTGCTTGAGAATTGACAAAAGATATGTCCTACCCTCTCCCACTTCCTCTCCTTGTTCAGAAGGATTATCACCAGTTTCGGGTGCATCTGGTAACCATCTTCACTGAAGGACAGATTTCTTCCCTCAAAAGTGACATTGATCAGATATCTGTAAAGATAAAAGAAAACAAAGGTTAAAAGTATGAAGAAGGTATGCCAAGAATAAGACAGGAAGACAGAGGGAAAGGTGAATGGAGACAGATACCTAGATAGACATACAAATATCACCGTGAAACTGTTAAGCATAGAGACATTCAAGTTTTCATTTAATAGGAATAATATGAAAAGATAAGAAACCTACTTCATTAGGTTTGTAAGGCTTAAATGAGATAACTTCCCACCGAGGCCTGGGACGTAGTAAACCCTCCTTAAGCATTAATGGTTATTATTCACAAAGGGAGGTCAATGAAAGGGTGGAGTTGGTAGAGAGAAGAAAGGGGGAGTGTACCAAGACAGCTTTCTGCTAAGAAAGGTGGCACACTGGAGCATAGGGTCTCTCTGACTCTCAGAGATATGTACACACTTTTGAACTCTTGCCAAGATCCAGGCCATGCTTCTAAGAGCTGTGAGAGGAGTCCAGCAGTCAGGGGTCTGGTTCCTCAGGATACATCTGGAAACTGGGGCTACTGCATTGTGTATAGTGAACAGAAAATACCGGGGGGTGAGGGGGGTTGGAGGAAGGAGGGAGAGGTATCTCAGAAAGTATTCCAGGCACAGGCACGTAAATTAGCAGTAACTCTGGAAGTAACTGGAGTCAAACCAATGAACTTATCTTCCCCCTCAACACCTGCACCTCCAGCTCACCCTTGTTCCTCTGCTGGCTGCTCCGATCTGATGAAGAGTTCCCTCACTGGGAATTCCCACAGGCGTGCTCATTACAACCACATTAGTGCAACTGTGCTGATGGTAATTAATGTTCCTTTACCATAATGGCTCAAGGAGTCAATAATGATTAGCTCAGTGTTCACATGACATGCTACTCTAGAGCCTTGGGTCTGATGCCGTCGTGAGGTGTCTCTGCTGAGAAGCAAAAAAGGTATCTTGTAATTGCCACCAGGGTTCTAGGGGCTTCGAATTTGTGACCAACAACAGTTTCCTAACACACTGAAGGGAAGAAGAATGTATCAGGAGGCAGCTTAAAGGATCCTGTTTTAAGTCTTCTCATTCAATGAAACTGTGAGGCTCTTTGTTCTTCCAGGTAACATTAGGTTAACTAACAAGGTTGCTAAGATGCAGATCCTTCAGGCACTTATAAAAAGAATACTAGACGTCATGAACCAAACCCGCATGGACCACTTATTATTTCAAGAGCTGCCTGGGCTTTTTCAGCCTGTCATTCTCTGGTCTTATGGTCTTCACAAATGCAATCAAGAACACAGAAGGCCTCAAAAGAATAGAGGCCTCTAGAATCTCAGAATTGAAAGAGACTTTCGTAGTCAACTGGTCCACCACTTCTCACAGTTTATGCTTTCCCTCTACAACAGAAAATTGGCTCTCTCAGCCCTTCTTGTTATCACTGCACTCTCTACCATCAAGAGTGCCATCTCACTGTTGGGCAGGGTGCCTTTTTTTATTTTTTGTTTTGTTTTGTTTTGTTTTCTACTTAAAGTTGAAATCTGCTCAGGGCACCTTGGTGGCTCAGTGGGTTGAGTGCCTGACTTTGGCTCAGTGAGTTCGTGAGTTCGAGCCCCACATCAGGCTTGCTGCTGTCAGCACAGAGCCCACTTTGGATCCTCTGTCCCCACCTCTCTCTGTCCTTCCCCAGCTGTGCTGTCTCAAAAATAAACAAACATTAAAAAAAAAAGCAATTTGCTTTCCTGAAACCCCTGGGTACTGGCTCCTTCTTAGATATTATTCAGTCTTAGTCTACTCCTTCTTCCACATGAAAGCTCTACAACTATTCAAAGACAATTATCATGTCTACCTTGTAAAGTAAATTTTAATCTTTGAAGAAAACTGAAGCTCACTTAGTTCTACAATTTTATTTTGTGTTTTTAAACATTAAAACAAATTTTTTATTATTTATTTTTGAGAGACAGAGCGGGAGTGGGGGGAGGGGCAGAGACAGACAGGGAGACACAGAATCTGAAGCAGCCTCCAGACTCTGAGCTGTCAGCACAGAGCCTGACGCGGGGCTCGATTTCACAAACTGTGAGATCATGACCTGAGCCAAACGAAGTCGGGCGCCCAACCGACTGAGCTACCCAGGTGCGCCTAGTTCTATAATTTTTACCTGATAGGAAACCGAAGCACTGAGAAGTCAAATTATTTGCCCAATGTCCTACAACTAATTTAGAGCAGAAATTACATTTTAAGCCATATTTCTAGTCCCATGATCTCTTTACCACACCAGCCTGACATATGTCACATCAGGTTTAACATCACCAGTTCCTTCACGTAGTTATCATATGCCATGACTTCAAGCCCCCATTCTCCTTATCCCCTGGCTGCTCTTTCTGGACACTTTCAACTGGTAAAAGTGTAGTGCCTCCTAATTCAACTCAACACTCCACACAGCATCTCCTCCATCCCTTGTACTGCCCCTCATCTCTCGGGTCCGTGCTGCTTTCTCAAGCCCATCACTAGTTAGAAAATAATAATCAGGTCTCCTATACTTTACAACTTCAACACTCCAGCCAAAGCCCTATATAATTCATTCCAAGGAACAGAATTACAAAACCACAAAACACTTCAAACTAAGAAACCAGAATTTAAGCACCCAATGTAATTAACTTGGAAAATATATTCTTATTATAATAATACTGCATTGCTTAGAATAATTTCTGGAATTCTTCAGAGAAGGTTAATGAGACATGCAAAAAAAATTAGTTTTCTCTCTCTCTCTCTCTCTCTCTCTCTCTCTCTTTTTTAGAGGAAAGGGAGGAGGAGAAAGGGAGAAAGAGGAAGGGAAAGAGAGAGAAATTAGTTACCTAGCTTAAGCACCCTCCTTTTTCACCTGACATGGCTCTGAATAATTCTGACTTTATCTAAAAGACCTTTACAATGTTTTTTAAGAAATGTCCATTTCAGAAAGCAATTATGAGAAAAGTTCCAAAAACAAGTAATAAGAAGCATAAATGCTTCTCAAGATGACTTCTTTGAAGGGGACAGCATTGAATTGGGTGTATAAGTTTTAAAATTCAAACTGTCAGAAAATAAACTACATTCATGGGTAATGTAATTGCTCTATAGTTAAATTTTTCTAGTTATTCCTGTTGCACATCCTTTTGATTTTTAAAATGAACTCCCTCTGGGATGTTCGTTCTCTTCCAGCTCTACAGGTCCATTTTATTCTACCTAGACACTTCTCATGTATTTTACACTTATCAAAAATATTGATACATTTTATGACAATATGCAAAATATTCTTCTCAAAGTATCCCTTAATTATTCATATCCTTCAGCAGTATGCAGATTAATCATTCACATTGTGTTTTTCTGAGTAATTCCCTCTAACGTGCCAACATTTGGCTATTAGTGAGGAGCTTGCAAATACACACCCGCCCTGAACAAGGATGCCCTTTGTATAGCAGAACAAAGCAGTCCATTCACTAGGGACAGCAAGTGTGATAAAATAATCAGGAGTGTGGTCACTTCTAGGCATGGGACTTTGGCATTTCCTCTTCAAAATGGAAACACCATTCTACCTCCTGCTTATCAGAGAAGCCCAATGTGCTAATCAAATGAAATAATGGATTAAAAAAATCAAATGAAATAATGGATAGGAAAACTATAGAAAACAGGATACAAACATAAGGTTATTTAATGGGAAGAAATCAGAAAAAGAAATATATTAGTGTCATTTGAATATCTAAAGGCAAGAAACTTGCCTCATTTTGGATCTTGTGAGTTAGAGTGTGATAACTACATTATAACAAGACCCAATTATCAATGGAATACACATTGGAGGAATGGAGATTGCACTCCATGTAGGGAGGGATAAACTAGGTCAAATGGTCACATTCGTCAATTTAACTTTCCACAAGGCCTGAAAATATCCAACCACCTTTGGATCTGGCTGCACTTTGCCAATTTTGAACATTAATTAAAACCCCAAAGCTTCCATGTGTAAATCCTTGGTAAACGATTAAACTATAATTAAGATGGGACAGACATTCTGTTTTCCTCTAAACGTGTCATCCTCAAGCAGACAGTCAGAAAGCCTAGCTCAAGTGGCAGTCAGATTCAGAAGCTCTTCCTGGAAGACTCTAGGCCCCTGGAAATCCCAGCAAGGTTTGGTGTGTATATATATATATATATATATATATATATATATATATATATATATATACACACACACACACATACACATATTGAATGGCAAAACACTATCTATCTATCTATCTATCTATCTATCTATCTATCTATCTATACAGCTTGATTTGTCTCCAGGATGCAGATGGACCCTAACGAACCTCCTTGTGTCTCATAAAGTTCTAATACTACACAGAACCTCAAACTGTTAGAACCAGAAGAAAATTTAGAAACTACCCATTGAGGGAAGGGGAAAACAGGTCCCAAGATGCTACCCTTATTTTCCAAGGTGACCTGCCCGTTCAGTACTGGAGTTCAAGTCTTCTGGTTTTCAGTTAAGTGTTCTTTTCGTTATAACACCTAGTGAAGGTGAAAGCAGTTTTGTGAGCCCCAGATGTGCATTTTAGCACTCTCATGTCACGTGTCATGCCTTGGACTATGTAGATCCCTAATACAGACTGCATGAAATAAAATGCATCTCATTTCCTGCTTGATTCCTTGTTGAGAAAGAGCCTCAGAACCCCGATGGGCTCAGAGCCAATACATTTGCTTTATATGGCTAAAGTCATACTCCAGTGGGTTTAATGAGGTCAAGCTGAGGTAAAAAAGCCCTTGTGCCTCTTTGACATTGACCATGCCACTCAGAGCTCATCCACTGCACCACAATGATACCTAAAGCAATGATTTAGCAGGATGCCCTGTGTGGGAGGCATCCAGAAGAGCTCTGCTAGAATTTTCCCAGCAAACCAAGAGCCCTGGCACTGTAATTCTCATTCTGCTCTCCATACTTTTACAAGGCCCTCAATTTTTAAAATTAATGTCTGTTAATAAGAAATATACGTGGTAATGAGAAAG